TCTCCTATAACTAGGAACAAGGCAAGCATCCCACTTCAGCACTGCTGCTCAGTTTTGTATGGGCCCTATAGTCATAACAATTAAGTAAGAGGCAGGAACAGAAGGCACCAAAACTGAAACAGAAAAAAATAAAACTTTTTCTACACACAGATAATATAATTCTATATATAGAAATTTGGGGGGTTGGGGATTTAGCTCAGTGGTAGAGCACTTGCCTAGCAAGTGAAGGCCCTGGGTTCGGTCCTCTGCTCTGGAAGAAAAAAAAGACAGAAATTTCAGAAACTCAAAAAAAAAAAAAAAAAAAAAACCCTGCTAAAAACAATACATTCAGTTTCAATGCACACATTATATCCCCCCCCCCCCATACACTAGTAAGATCAACCCAAAAGGAAAATTAAGGGAGCTTAGAGCTTCCACTTATAAGTGTATTGAAAAGAGTAAACTGTCTTGGGGTAAAGCACTTTTACATATCTGGGTCTGATGGCACAGGTCTTTAAATCTAGCCCTTGGGAGGCAGAGTAGGCAGAGAAAGGTGAATCTCTATGAGTCTAAGATTGGCCTACTTTTCTTAGTGAGTTTCAGGCCACCAGGGGCTACACAATCAGACCTTACTTCAAAAAAATAAAAATAAAAAATAAAAAAAGAAAGAAAAGGAGGGTAGGTTGAGCCAGGTGGTGGTGGCACTCAGGGAGGCAGAGGCAAGTGGACCTTTGTGAGTTTGAGACCAACCTAGTCTACAAATTGAGTTCTACGACAATCAAAGCTACACAGAAAAAACCCTGTCTCAAAAAACACAAAACCAAAGTTTGCTGTGGTGCTAACTGAACCCACTGCTTACTGCATGTTAGGAAAATCAAGTATTCTATCACAGAATCATATCACAACTCTGTTAAAAATAAACTTAACAAAGGATGTAAAAGACTTATAAAATAAAAACTGTAAAACACTGCTGAAAAAACATTAAAGAAATCCTAAAGGGGGGGGGGAGGGATGAAAAAATATGCTGAATTCTTAGACTGGAAAATTCTCCGGTGCTGAGGTGTCAATACTACCCAGAGCCATCTATAGAGTCACCCTTGTCCCCATCAAACTGTCTTTTGAGAAGTAGGAAATCCAATCCTCAAATTCATACAAATTGCGAGAGGCTTTGGGTAACATGCAGAGTGCCAAGTCCACTCAGTGAGACAAAGAATCATTTTCTCAACAAATGGCATGGAGATATCTGGAGTTCCATATGCAAAAGAATGGCGTTGGAGCTTGCTGCATACCTTACAGAAAAATTAACTCAAAATGAGTATAACTTGTTTGTGGTGTTGAGTGCCTGTAGTCTCAGCTAATCAAAAGGCTGAGGCAGGAGAATAACCTGATGTCTGCAGTTTGAAGCCAGTCTGAGAGAGACTGAAATTTTGTCTCAAAAAACAAAGCAAACAGACTATCTAAATATGAGCTAAAATGACAAAACTCTTAGGAAAAAAAACACAATAATAAATCTGCATGACTTTTGATTTGTCAATGAATTCTTAGATATTAGATGAGCAACATTTAAAAAGTTAGTATTTTTTTTTTCTCTGCTGCCCTACACCTCAGAGGTTGAGACCTGTCAGCCCCAGCTGACAGACATGTGATACATGGCCTCTTGCCTGTTGGCTGCCCTTACGGGCAGCTTCTCTCCCAGGGCCAAATATATCAAATATATATCAAAGATACTAGACAGCCTGAGCAACAAGGTCATTAGTGAATGAATGGAATGGAAAAAACACTGGAGATGTCATCGCCGAGGGTGTTGGCAAGCTTGCCAGGATGCCTTGCAGGTGGGCTGTAGCTGTTTCTGCTACTCCTCGATCCACAATTCCTGCAGCTGGCTCTATTCATCTGTATCTGTGTCCCTGTCCATCTGTTCATCCCCATCCCTCCCCTGCCCTACACCTGCTTCAGCAGGGAAGAAAGACTAAAAGGAAGAGTCAGATGATGGCATGGGATTTGGCTTTTTTATTAAATTCCTGTTCTCCTGGAAATAAAACCTTTTATGTAAAAAGAAACTTAAAAAAATTTAACTTTGGTTCATTTCTGTGGGTAGCAATAAACATGGAAAGAGGAAGTTCAAGGAGCTGAGTACTTCTTGCACATGCCTAACCGTACCTAGTTTTTTACTGTGACTCTTTAGGACTCCAGTAGTTTGTATCTCAGTCAAGAACGAAGTCTTTGGAGAAAATCATATCCTTATGAACAGGTGTGGAAGAATGCTCTTGCAGGTGAAGAACCTGGGCAGATGAGATGGTTGTGCCACCTCCTGAGACAGCACCTACAACTTTGTTCCTATGGCCATTGCACAGGGACAGTTGCCAAGATGACCCGTTCAGATTCCGAAGGCAGAGGAGATTTCCACTGGCTACAGTCAAATAGTTCTGCCATCTCTTGTCAAGTTCTAACTGCCCAGTGGCTTTTTCAGTGTCAGAAGAAGTCTACCAAGAAGTCCAGAAACTTTTTCTGGGTGTGGGTTGTGCTAGTTAGGTTTTTTTCTTTGTTTGTTTTGTTTTGTTTTTCTACTTGACACAGGCTAGAATCATTCTGGGAGAAGGAACCTCAACTGAGGAAATGCCTCCTTCAGATTGGCCTATAGGGCATTTTCTTGATTACTGATTGATATAGGAGGACTCTGGTCACTGTAGGTGAAGGAACTGAGGATGGCAAGGGTAGCTCCATTTTGCTTCTTAGACTCTGTCTTAAGTTGCCTGACCTTGGAATGACTTGATCCCCACCTTTGGGTTCTGAGAAGGGCCACATGCCCTTCCACCTTGCAGGTTGTCGTGGATACAACAGAATTCGTAAATAAATAGATAACTATAATCAGGCCTCCACCCCACAGGTTGTCAGGTTGTCATAAATGCCACAGATTGTGTTAGCGAGTCCTCCACTCCACCAAGCAGGCTATCGTACAGATATCTTAGATATCTGTCGGTTTGGCCAGGAGGCTTGGAACAATTAGCCTAAAGGTCACCTCAATTGCTGAACCCCCACCCAAAACATACCCTTCCCTGTAATGCCAAGGCTTGGAATTCCCCGCTTGCCATTTTTCCCTTTAAAAACTCTGCCTCCCTGAGACTTGGGGTCTCACTTTCTAATCTGCTATGTCAGGGAAGATTGGCAGCCTGAGCTTAAGCTTGAATAGAGATCCTCATGTGATTTGCAATGGACTCGATTCCTAGTGTCTTTTGGGGTCTTTCAAGTCAGGCACAACATGGGCAGTGCCACGCCTGAGCAGGTTGTCCTGGATTTATAAGAAAGCAGGCTGAGAACACCTTGGAGAACAAGCCAGTAAAGTGTCCATCTATGGTCTGCAGTTCAGTTTCTACCTCCAGGTTCCTGCCTTGAGGTCCTATTCTGACTTCCCTTCAATAGCTGTAAAATAAAATAAATTCCATACCAGTTTGCTTTCGGTCATGGTGTTTTATAATAGTAATAGAAGGCAAAGTAAGCCAAAGGCTCTCCTTTCTCCCAGACTGACTAAATAAAAAGCTCTAAGAATAGCATGTTAAAAACTAGTCAGGTGTGGTAGTGTATGCCTGCAGTTCCAGCTGCTTGGAAGGTGGGAGGATGGCTTATGTCCAGGAGTTGAAGGACAGCCTAGGTTAAAAAGTAAGACCAGCTCAATTTTAAAAGTCAGAGATGAGAGGATCAGGAGTTCAAAGAGTTTGAGCTACATATATAGCAAGACCTTGCCTCCAATAAACAAGTAAATAAAACCACAACCCCTTTCTGTACTGAGAATTTTTTTTTTTTTGAAAACACAGAAATGTTATGCGTATATGTTTTTGTTTTAATCCCAGGTGTTTTAATCCCAGGTATGGGGCAGCTTCAGATTGTCCACAGCAACTGGCTATGATTTGTCTCATGCTCTGGCAGAGGTGTGATTTTGCAACCTGTAGATAGTTTCTGCAAGTGTTATGGCATTTCAAATACTGGGAGCTCTTAAGAGGGTATATGAAGCCCCAAGAGCGGCTGCAGCAGCTGTTGCTCTTTTTTCTGCGGCTGGTTTCTGTTGCTGGCTGTTGTTGTTTTGTGCTTTGTCAAGTGGTTGTAGGCAAAGAGAAGATTAACCCTGCCCCAAGGAACTCAAAGCTCCTAAACAGCAGGAAGTAGTCTAAAGATAATGATGCCCCCTTCCCCTCTGTCCTTCTTTCTCTCCTACCTACCGTTGGGGTTTGGAAGGGTGGAATGGGAGTGGAGGACCATTTCCATTAAAGAACCCAATAAATAGCCAAAAAGTCTGGCTATACCCTACTTTTATTTTTCAAAGAAAGCTATCAAGAAAATGAAAACATAAAGAATGGGAGCAGGGATATTTGTAAATCACATAGCTGGCAGGTGTAAATATGAAAAGCATGTAAATAGCTCCTACAACTCAACAAAAAAGGGCAACAACCAAAAAGTTTAAATATAGACAAGAGCCTGGAATAGAATATATACAAATAATAATAAAATACTTGAAAAGATACTCGGTAATGCTAACTTTCAGAAAGCACATATGTCTGTGTGTATATTTGTGTGTGTGTGTGCAGTGGAACCAGTACTCACTGACTGGCTAGACTGGCTGACTAGTGAGCTCTCTGGTCTCAGCCTTTGTAATACTAGCGACCACACCCAGTTTTTTATGTCGGTGCTGAATATCTGAACTCAGGTCCTCCTGTTTGTGCAGCAAGCGCTTTACCAAGTGGGCCACCTCCCCTAGTACTACCTACCAGTATCAGCCATTTGAAACACTCTACCCTGAGTAAACTAAACAATGATCCCAGCTGATTGTCCTGACTGGAACAGAGGTAGCCGGGGATGTTTGAAATAGTGTGTACCAGATGCTTTCCCATCATTTAGCGAACTCTAAATGATCCTACAACCATTTCCATGTAGATCAGAGGAAGAGCATTTGCCATGGTGGCTCAGTAAAAGTACTGCTGTGATGGTGCTAGGGAGACGATGCTGAAAGGTTCAAAATACAAACTCACTGTTTGGTGCTAAGAGGCATGCTGGGCTTGCAAAAACGCCCCCTGTGTGGTTTAAGCAGGATGCCCAGGCTCCTGAGGCTTCTGGGAGATGCTGTCTCGTGCTGCTTCCCCGGTGTTGCAACAGCAGGCCCAGTTTTGTTTTGTTTTGTTTTCTGGACAGGGTTTCTCTGTGTAGCCCTGGCTGTCCTGGAACTCGCTCTGCAGATCAGGCTGGGCTCAAACTCAGAGATGTGCCTGCCTGTGCCTCCGGAAGTGCTGGGACAAAAGGTGTGCACACCAATGCCTGGCTCTGACTGAACACTTTTACGGGGGAAGCATTTCACGCCGGTGGAGTGTGTCCGGTTAAATAGTGGTATTCCGTCTGGTCAGCAGACACTGGAGCCAGATGATCCGGGGCATCTTAAAGCACAGCTTCCTACCGGAATACTGGCTGGAACACCCAAGTTACACGGTGCTATACAATAGAGCTCACTAACTAATCTTCAACAAAGACCGCTGCAAAACGAGTGTTCAACAATGCGGAACTTGCTCTTCAAATGACTTGGTGCGGTGATCAGCTTGTTTTGGATCCAAAGCCCGTGGGCCTCAACGTCGCAACGCTCCTCTTCGGCCCGTCAAACGCTGCAATTAGCAGAGTGCGGCACACGCCCTGACTTTACTAGATTCTTAACAGGCTTTGGAAGCTTCTCACGCGTAGCTGCTAATGACAATCACAAGCCCAGGGAGCAACAGGGCGGCTTCGGCCAGCTGCAAGCTTCTGCATTGGCGCGAAGCCGCCGTGACCGAAACGCAACTCTGTGACGTCATGCCACGCCCACCGCCCGTCGCACAGGCCTCTCCTCTGGGGCTGGGCTACGCGCTGACGCCACACGCCGGGGCGGGGCCGAGAGTTTGGAGCCCGGAGTGGGGTGTCGGCGCCTCACTCGGGTGGAGCCGAACCGGAGACAGGTAACCTTGGGCGGCGGACGGGCTCAGCCTGGGAGGCCCGGCGCTTGACACCCGGAGCTCGCGGCCGAGGGCGAAGCCTACGTGCCTTTGCAGCCGGGGCGCCCGAGGGACGGGGGTGAAGCCGGACCGAGCCGGGCTGACGGCCCGAGGGCGGCGATGATGGGCGGGGGACGAGGCCTGACGGACGGGCCTTGTGGCCAATGGGGTGGCGGGGTCGGCCGGGCGGGCGGGGATTGGCGGGCGCGGGCGCGCGCCGGGGGTCGCGGGGCCGAGCGCCATTGGCTCCGGCAGCCGAGCCGCGAAGGCGGCGGTCTGGGGTGTCTGTGGCTCGGCGGCCCGGGAGCGCTCCAAGGTCGCCGCGCGTCACGTGGCCCGGCCGCTTCCTCCGGCCCGCGCGTGTTCTTTTGTCCTGCGTGCTCTGGCCCCTGCCGGCCGCCGTCCTCGGGTTCGCCGCGCCCGGTCACGGCGCTGACCTTGGTGCCTGCGGCAGCCCCACCTGCCGGTATGAGGTAGGACAGGCTGCCGGCCGAGGTGACACTCGTTTCCCTAGAAACGCCGTCCACGCACCGCCTTCCTCGCGGGGGGGTGCGGCAGACGTGAGTGACCCGCCGAGTTGATTGGGAAGCCGCTCCTGTGCCCTCACACGAGTTCCCAGACCACGGCCCTTAAAAGCCCACCGAGCAGTGTGCCAGGCTCTGAAATGACAAGGTCGGGAAGGGTGCGTCAGCGCCAGCGTTCAGACAGGAGACCGGAGAGCAGGGCATGGGAGTATCCACAGGGTGAAGGAGCAGGGTGAGGGCTGGGGAAGGGGGATTAAAGGGGATGAGAACGAGAAGCGAAGGGCTAGGCGGGGTGCGCATGCGTAGCCCAACTTCCTGACTGTGGGCTCAGAAAATGGCGGCGTTAATCATCATTGGAGGGTCGAGTTGTCGACCCTTGACGTCAAAAGGTCACTCGGAGAACGCCTCTGCAGGCCCGACGGGGGCGGGGTCAGTGGTGTCAACCAGTTTTCGATTAAGGCTTCTAAGTGCCTAAAGTGTCATCTATATATGCTGAAGCTCTTGCGAATGTGCAGCTCAGCCTCGTGAGCTCTGAGTAGGGGCAAGTAACTAAAAAGAGAAGTTTTTCCAGATTTTCTGTGGATTTCAGTACCCTTGTAGGCCCTTCCTGTGGCTGTGCATCCTGTGACCTGACATTGAGCAGAGGACACGGTTGAAGTTTCCCCGATCTTGTAGCCCTGCCCTTGAAGGTGGACCCGGGTAGATTACTTAGTAGTTGGCATTAGGAGGAGTGGCGCTTTGTCTTTTTCTCTGCTCCTGTCCTTGTCACTTTGCATCACATTTTTTGCAACTTTTTTTAATTTAAAAAGTCATATTTATTTACTTACACACCGTAGTAGATGTCCTAGGACAACTCGTGAGAGTTGTTTCTCTCCTTTACACGGTGTGGGTCCTGGGGCTTGACCTCCGGTGGCCACGTTTGGTGGCACTGATTTATCACGCAGGCCCCTACTTACTTTCTTGCTACGTACATTTAGGCGAGCTTATCTTTTTGATAGATTGACCTTCCATTATTTTACGTCTTTTAGTCTCTGGTAATTGCCTTTTCTCTGCTGTCTGCCTTATCAGGTAGCAGTAGGCATTCTTGGAAATATGGCTAGTATTTACACAAAATATGTGCTTTCAGTCTTACTTTCAGTGTTACTATCTTTGAAGTGGTATTCTTGTAGACAAGCATATACTTTGTTTTATCCACCTGCCTATGCTTCTCATAATATGTTAGGATTTATAGTGATATGTTAAAATTTAAGTCTTCTTATTTTCTTCGAATTTTATTTCTCTGCTTTCTTTGTGCTGGCCTCCTTTGGGTTATTTTAACATATATACATACAGCCTAGGCTGGCCTTGAATCCATCGTTATCCTCCTGCCTCAGCCTACTAAATGCTGGGATTTGCAGGCATGCCTCACCATAGCTAGCACTGTGTGGGGGTGTGTGGGTATGTGGGTGGGTGAGTGAGAGCACAACTTTAGAAAATCACCTGTCTCCCACCATATGGGTTGTCATACTTGGCAGCAAGGGCCTTTACCAAAGTGCTGAGCTTCCTTGGCAGTTCTTGTTGGGTGATTTCAGATCGACAGTTCTGCTCTTTAGTATTTGAAAACTGTCCGTTTTTCTTGGTTTTCCAGCTTCTGATGAGAAGTATATTGTTTTTAAGTTTTTCTATTCCCTTGAGACAAGATCTCTCGCTGAACCTGGAGCTAGACTGACAGCTAACCACAGTGGTCTTCCTCTCTCTGTCTCCCAGAGCAGTTTTCTTGTCTCTGCTTCTCACTGTACTGGGTTTGTAGATGCACATGGCCACGCCTGGCTTTTTAAGTAGGCTCTAGGGATTTGAACTCCAATCCTATGCTTGCATAGCGAGCACTGTCACCCACTCAAGTGCGCTCCCCAGGCCTTCTTTTTCTTTTAATTTTATTTTCATGGGCCTAATGCATTATTGTAGTAATTCACAAGGTTTTCATATGTTTATGATGTGAGTGCTTGGCTTTAGGGTTTGCCTTTCTTCTTGAATCTGTATGAAGCTTTTTACCAAATTAGGGAATTTTTGTTGTTGTTGTTTTGTTTTTTGAGACAGGATTTCTCTATGTAGCCCTGGCTGTCCTGGAACTTGCTTTGTAGACCAGGCTGACCTGAACTCAAATATCTATCTGCTTCTGCCTTCCAACTGCTGGGATTAAAGGCATGTACTTCCACACCTGCCCCTATCTGATAGTCTTAATAGCTGTGATAAATTGATGTTATTGTAACTGGCTGGCACCGATCTCTCTCTCTCATTCACTCTCTCATTCATTCATTCATTCATTCATTCATTCATTCATTCATTCATTCACTGTTTGTTGGTTTTTGAGGCAGGTCTCACTGTGTATCCCTGGCTGGCCTGGAACTCACAGAGGTAGGTAGGATAAAAGGCATGCACCATCACACCTGGCCCTTAAGTTTCTAAGAAAAATGGAGCAGACTCTTTCTGTCTACTAATGGCAAAGAGTGCTGCCTCATCTCTAAGAAGAAGTTTTTGCTACTGTAGTTATGAGTTCCCCACCAAGGATGAGGGATGTGCCCACATTTATGTTCCTAGCTGATTGTTGTTGGAGTAGAGGTGGAGATTAAGTCCCTGATTTCATATTTGACATCACTGAGGATGGGATCATGGTGTTTTCTCTGCCCTTTGACTGCAGTAGGACAATTAGTTAAGATTTCCATCTTGCTTCACCTGCCACTATCCTTTAGCTTAAGAGCAGAGGCTTTGCGGCTCCTTTTGTCTATACCTGTTGACATTTCTTAGAGCTTCTCTGCTAATTAATCTGAAGCATATGACACAAGGAGAGTGCTCTGGCTGCTGTGTCTTTTCAGTTTTCAAGATTCAAGTCAGTTTACTTCCTCTGTCTACCTTTTGGAGACTTTTATTTTAATTTAACATTTTTGCTTAGGATTGAATTTAGTAAGAAACAGAAATTCTTTATGTGCTTTAATAAAATGTTGACATGTTTTCTATAAAATATCCCATAATTTTCAATTTTCGCTCTTTTTTTGTTTTGTTTTGGACACGATTCCTCTGTGTAGCCTTGGCTATTCTTGACTGGCTTTGTAGCTGGCCTCGAACTCACAGTGATCCACCTGCCTCTGCCTCGCCCAAGTGCTGGGATTAAAAGCATGCACCACCACACCCAGCTTCAATTTTCAGTCTTTAAGAACATTTATTGTGGTTCTCTTGAGAGGGGGTCTAAGTACGTTAACTCAGTCTGGCCTGGAAATCCTGCGTCAGCCTCTATAGCGCTGGGATTACTGATAGATCGGGGTCATTATGTAACACCTCTTAAAAGAGCCTCCTCACTTGCACTCACCAGTCTGGCTGCTTCGACCTCTGCAGTCTGGTTGCACCTCTGACACTGCAGAGCCACAGCTAGAGAAAGAGCACTGCAGTGTTCGCACTTCGGTAAAGAAGCTTGCTGCGTGCTCTGGCATCGGAAGGGTTTCTGGTTGAAAGCTAAATAATGGAGACACTCTACTAATGTTTTCAAGTTATAGTAATTGTCAGACCACGGTGGCTGATGTTTGCTTGGGACCTTGAATTTCTCAGATACCTTTTTTTGGCCTCTTCTAAGTTGTAATTGTAAGTTGGCCTACTTGTAAATTATACTTCTTCAGTCATAGAAGTACTTGAAATTTACAAAATGTTTTGGTGTTTGTATTATAATTACAAAAAAACAATGAGGGAGAGAGAGTAATTACTGTCTGTCCTCTCTGTTCAAAGAGACTGAACAGGTCAGGTCTAGTACAGAGTGCTTATTTAGCGAGTTGGTGTCATTGATACGTGCACCACTATCAGGAAAGTGCTTACAGGGCAAGCGTGAGGACCTGGCTGTGGTAATACATGCTTGTAATCCTAGGGCCGGGGATGCAGAGGAGTGGATCCCTGGGGCTCTCTGGCCAGCAGGCCTAGTTTATTTGAAAAGTCATTAGGTGACAGGAGCTACCGTGTCTCCAAAAAAGCAGGGTAGCACTTGAGGAAGGACACCAGATCCTGACCTTTGGCCTACACACCCACATGCATACATGTGCATCAGCGCATTTACTTGTATATATACATATTTATACTTAATATATACCTAAGGTTCATAGGTTGTGTCTAAGCAGACAATAATATTTAAGTGTTCCTACCTCAGCCTCCAGAGTGCTTGGATTACAAGTGTGGGTCATTGTGCAACAGCTCTTTAAAGTGCCTT